TCGGTGGTGAATAAAAGAAAATAAATAATTAACGAGAGAAACACGGTGTCAGATATTTTTTAATACTTTATTCATATAATTTTCATAGTTACGGCGTTATACCTATTATATTTACATGACTTCATTTTTTGTTCTTCTTTGAGAAATTTTATATCGCATAATGTGCGCGCACTACGGTGCTGCGACGTGTGTGTTCTCGTGTATGATGTGAATTCTATTCGCATTATTTCCAGTCATTTTCGATAAAAGATATATTGCGTAGCGAAATAAAAGATAAACGGTGAAGTATGTTGTGTGATTGCGTGTTATTATACGTGTGTGTATGTGTATCTTTTTCTCTCTCTCTCCCTCATTGTAACCTTGTATATTATAAGTAAATATATATAATATAAATACGCAAATTATATATTTATTTATTGAAATACATTCGATTAGACGTGTGTGACGTGTACCAAAAAGATGTTATGGCAACGCACGTGTTGAGTGAGTAGACATTTGGATGATTGTGGCTTTAAAAGATTGATGTTTAGGTTTTGATTTAGAGGCAGGAAGGGATATGCTTGTCTGCTTAAAAATTGAATTTCTAACGAAATGGCACAGTAGGCTTCGCCTTGACGTGTAAAAAATCTAAATGCATCATACGCTTACGTTACATTATTTATATCCGTATTTAATATAATTCACCAAAATGATCAAGAGAAAAGGCTGACTAGAGCGAATTACGTACGATTAATAAACACGTTCGATCGATCGATTAAACGATCGACAAAAAATTACACAGCATTAGAATATACATTTTTTATATATAATATATACCCTTTTTTACCACCAGTCTTCACACAATCGATTGCTACTATACATATAAATACACACACGCACACATATATATATACATATATTTTTATAATGTTATATATACGTATGGGCGTGTAAAATTGTCATGAGTTAGCCGACAAAAAAATATGCGCGATCGAACGGCGTCTATTTCTATCTCTTTCTCTCTTTCTTTCATTTTTTTCCCTATCTTTCTCTTTCTTTCATTCACACTCATATACACACTATCACTTTATCTCTCTTTTATACTCTTACTATCTCTATCTCTATCTCTATCATTGTCATTATTTCTTTCTCTCTCTCTCTCTTTCTCTCTCTCTCTTTCTCTCTCTCTCTTTCTCTCTTTGCTGCAGCTTAAAGCGCATGCTTTTTTTCTATTTAATTACTGTACTCGTATATATGTACTCATGAACGAAATTATCAATCGTACAAATGTAAAATATCTTTCCTCTCTACCTAATTAATAAGAAAGAATAGGCGTTAAGCTTTTTATACTTCGGATCCTCGACACCGTAGAAATATCTACTTATAATAACAAGTATATATTTATTTATATTATTAAGTATATATTTATACCTATGTCGTAAATATCCTTTTCTCCTGTCTCATCCATCCACCCATTTTTTCTCATTTACACTTACCCCATCTTTTCAGGTCGATTAATTTATTATTACGTGACCACAAATTGTTTATCGCCATCGAGGAGAGATAACAGAAGTGAAAAGGGGGCAAAAGAGGCAGGGGCTAGTAATATATAATTCTTATTATTAAATATCATATATCGATTTTTTGCCAGATCTCCTTAAAATCGTCACTTACTCCGTTTAGTTTGTTTAATACGATTTAAAACACATTTTTTTTGGTAATTACGATTATTAATTATAGAATTAATCATTGCGTTAGTATAAATGTTTCATTGTCAGTTTGAATAATCGTCGGTACTTCGAAGGATATGCAGAGAAGTCAGTTGGGGCAGTGATAATAATATGTAACGTTTATCGCGAATTCTTAAATGTTTCTTTTTTTTTTTAATTAGATTCGTTAATGACGTGATAGTAAAATTAACGTACGAGATGGACAGTAACGTAATAGCACCGAATTCATGATTATAGTAATAATGACAGTAATAATAATAAAATTTTAATTGAAATATTGAGGATTTTTTCGCGATTTTTGGATTTTTCTTCGAAAAGAGACAGAGAGAGAGAGAGAAAGAGAGAATGAGATATGGAAAAATAAACTAATAAATAAATAAATAATGAAATAATTATACGTACATACATATACATACATACAAATGTCTTCGCGCAATTCCATTCGTTTTACCGTGAGGGGGTTCGAAATGTCGTTAAGACTACCTACTCGTATTCAAAGTCGTTTCTTTTTCTAAATTTTAAGAAATCGATATCGATTTTCATTTTTATTTTCATAGCTTTGGATCGATTGATCGATCCGAAAATAATGCAAAAATGGAGGTTGCTGGTTGGGTGTTCAGGGGTGACAAAAATATGTGACAGAAGTAACGTCGGCGTAATTCAGATTGTTTTTTTTAAGAAACTCGCCGCGATGCTTATTATTTATATTTATTGTTATTATTTATAATTTATATTATTATTATTATTTATATTATTATTATTATTATTATTATAATATTATTATTACTATTATTATTATTATTATTATTGTGCTCTTCCATTTCTTTTATTTTTCTTTTTATCTTTTTGGGGTTTTTTTTAAAAGTTTTTCTTTTTTAAGTGTTACGCGAGAATATTATCGTTGAAATATACATTTTAAGATGAAAATAAGTCTGATTTGCGATTAATTTCATTCGATCCATGGTTTATGGTTTTTCAAGGATTAAAATAATTTCAATGTTTCATTTGTAATTTAATTCTGAGTGAAAACAATTTTTAATATTATTAATAAATTAATTTCATGTTGAAATTTACCAATTATTATTTTCCGGTTGAATATAGTAATCGGTTCACAACCGACAAAAAATCATTTTCCAGCCAATATGGAAACCGATATAGTATAAGTTTCAAACAAACCAAACAACAAATTTAAATTCGATTTGAGCGAGATTTTTTATTTTTATAACATTTTGTATAATTCAACATTTTTTGGTTCTCACAGATGTTTTAAAAATCATAATCAACGTCAGAAATCTTTTCTACCCTTGCTTTTTGTAATATAAACGCGAATTTAAGCTTTTGTGCGATATAGACGCAAGTACTAGGATGTTTCGAAAATTACGCGCGCCGAGATAAAAAGATTTTTGTGTTTTTTTCAAGCTTACGCGCTTCTTACCTTCCACGCATAACTTTTGTTTGAATAAGTGATAGATAAGAACAATCGATAAGAAAAATAATTTAATAATAAATTCAAAAACGATTTAGATATTATTCGTGCGTGCACTTTTCCTCGTTCATTTTCTTTACTTTCTTTACATTCATTATTTGTGAATTATTCACACGTTAATAGACATGCATGCATCTTTAGCAAAAGATGTCGTATCATTATCATTATCATTTATTAAATAAAACGACGAAATTATTAAAAAATGTTGAAGAACATTATCAAGAAATTGATGTTATGTACGAAGGAATTGGTGCATTTGTTGATCGATTAAATAATTTCTTAAATCAAAATTTAAATTAAAGATTCGAGCATATTCATTTCATTTACAATTATCTAATATTTTTTACATACACAAGCATACGGATTCACAAATGTATATACAAATATAAATATACACGAAATGCTTGATGCGTATTCTAATATTGAAAACGACGCGAGCGTTTTTTCTTCCTTTATTTTTCACTTTTTTCTTTTATGAAATAGTTTTTAATCATTGTAATAAGCGCCTTTGCGTTTGCGTTTGCGTTTGCGCGATAATACGTGTTTAAGTTTTTTTTTTATAACATCAAGCTCACTGTTATGATACAGGGACTATATGATTTTTATTTATTTGTTTGTGTTTAATTATTATTATTAATATTATTATTATTATTATTACTATTATTATTATTATTATTATTATTATTATTATGTTATTATAATTATAATATAATTATTAGTATAATTATTAATTTTTAATATTTTTCTTTCGCTATACCTTTTTTCTTCCGACAAATATTTATTTCTATATCGTATTTTATATATTCGTTACTTTAAAAAGATATTTTTAAACAATAACCATACACCGACAACAAGATTAAATCCCAGTACGCACGAATATTCGTAAATTTGCAAAAAAGAATTTGACTATAGTAAAATTTTATCGGAACTAATTTTTGTTATCACCACCGTGGAAGGATGCGCGAAGAAGTATTTTTTAAACGAGAGAGATAGTTTGTTCGAAATACCTAGCAACGAATCAAAACTTAAGTAATGTCAGTATAATTATAATATTGTTTATCGTTGGATTCGAGATAGCGATAATGTGCGCATCTAAAACGCAAAAAGCTCTTCTTCCTTTTCCCTTTTATTTATTTTTGTATATTTGTTTGTTCGTTTCTTTCCTGGTATGTATGTTTATTTTTATAACAATCGGACGTGTACAATTATTTATTTAAATCTGTTTTCCTTAATTATAATATTGTTTTTTTTATTTTAACTTTTTTTTAATAATTTCTGAACGGTTTCGATGAATCATCGCTTAACATGTTTCTAGTTTTCACGCGTAGTCTCAGTTTTGTCTTTCCAGTCACGATGCCCATTATCAAATATGTTAGTTTTATTAATAAATAATGTTAACATTTTTGTATGGATATTAAATCGCAATTTTTTACATGATTACAAAAATTGCGTGAACTAATGAAATTCTTTTTCCAAAAAGAACCATTCAATTTTTTAAGCTGATGTGTGAAACACATACGATCTTCTTTTTTTATTGAATTGTTGCAACACATATGAGCCTTTAAAATGAAAAGGGAAATTTTTCATATTTTGTGTTTTGTTTTCATTTTATTTTCGTTAATTCGGAAACGAAGATTTCGTAATGACGTTTCGATTATTTTATCAATTGCAAGATATTAGTCGATCTTGTAATTTCATATTATCGAGTCTCTTATCTCGATTATAATTTAATCTATAAGAAAGTACATATTGCTTTCCACAAATTTTCCTCTGCATCCATCATTTTTTCTCTCTTTCTTTTTCTCTTTTTCTCTAGTTTGATTTCTTCGACACTTTTTAATGGAAGATCGCACCAACGCGTACATTATTAAGTAAGTAATTATATACTCATTTTTTGTTCTCTGATGAAGCGTTCGCCATTTCACGATTGCACGCACACATACTCTTTCCTTTTCTTTTTTTTTTTATTTATTTTCTCACGATCGTTGCGAGGATCCGAGTTCGTTTTTGATATCACGCACGATACCATCTCGAAGGGAAGATTCATGAAAATTCCAGTTCAGCTTCGAATAACAAATGATCAATCGATCGATCGATCGTAAGAGATCAATGTGATAAGTAGCATTTACTACTTACATAGATTTTTATATATGTATTATGTGTATTTATCCGCACTTACACATGTATAATACGCAGTACCCGTAGTACTATTTGTGTATGTATATGTGTTTGTGTGTATTTATTTATTTATTTTATATTTTTTCCTTCATTTCCTTTTTATATATATTTCCTCTATTAATTATTATTATTATTATTATCATAATCATAATTATAATAATTATAATTAAGATTATTTTCGAGAAACAAACAAGAAAGAAAGATATGAAATGATATTCGAGAGCTCGAGCTTGTGCCAACCGGATTGGTATAATTGGTTCTTATGAAAAAATATATTTATATGTATGTACGTATGTATGTATGTTTGTATATATGCATGTATGTATGGTTGTATGTAAGTATGTATATTTGTTTATATGGCGTGTGTGTATATATTTATTGTATGTGTATAAAACGTGCAGGCGCTTATTCATCGTCAATCCGTCGAAATTATCTCGTCACAGTTTAGGTTCGTTATTACAATTATTACGATTTTGTATCCATGTGTTACAATAATCGAAGTTGTTTTCTAACGATTCGACGGAGCAGAGGCAATTATATCGTAGCTCGAAGAGAACACACGCACACATACTCGCAGACAAACACGTAGAGAGAAAGAGAGACAAAGAAAGAGAGAGAGAAAGAGAGAGAGAGAGAGAGAGAGAGAGAGAGAGAGATAGAGACAGATAGAGACAAAGTGAGAGAGAAAGTGAGAAAGGATGAGGGGGTATTGTTTTGATATATCTAACGCATGGTTCTCATAGTATAATTTTCTTCCTTTTTTATTTTTCCTGTTATTTCCATTTTATAATGTTTCTTCGAGATCTGTAATGTTTTAACTATCGCACGATCGATACTGGAAGTTTTGATCGCGTTTACGCCTACTCATATAGACACAACGCTTTTCTCGTTCTCTCTTATTTTTTCTTTCCTTTTCATTCTTTTTCTTTTGCTTTTTTTTATTAATAAAATCTATCATTTAACAAACAATTTGCACGTATAACGTAACCGGTAATATCATATACATGTATGTATATATAATTATATATATATATATATATATATATATATATATATGTAAGTATTTTTTTCTATACAACAATAAGTGCAGTTTTAATCGCCATGTAGTATCATCATCTTCATCTTCATCCTCGTCATCATCGTCATTATCATTCATATATAATACTTTCATCATTTCCTAAAACTTACGGCATTCTTTCCAACATTATTCTCTTCAAACTGAAAACTTACACACACACATATATCGTTTATAATCTTTCACAACTACGTTTTAACAATAAACAAAAGAATTGCTCTCTTCCAAGGAAAATTCAACTATGTATGGTATGCGTTAAGATAATCATCGCGTCAGTGATCGTGTATCGTAAATTCGGAAAACGCGAATCCTGTTGATCTTCGACTTATCTTTTTTGATTGGAAAATATCGAAAAATGTTTATTGACTAGTACATGTAACGCGGTATCTCTCCAATTTGTTCTTTTACGTCCCACCCACCCTCGCTAATGTAAGTTCTGTCGAGTTAGATCAAAGGAATGTTTGTTGGTTTGTTTTTGTGCGAGGGTGAATGCCGTAGGACATGGAAGATTGATAGATTCTCTCTCTCTCTCTCTCTCTCTCTCTCTTTCTCTCTCTGTCTCTCTCTCTCTCTCTCTCTCTCTCTCTCTCTCTTGTTTTCTTTCTTTCTTTCTCTCTTATTTCTTTCTCTATTTCACATTTTCACTCGATCCGTTTCCTAATTTGTTTTTTTCTCTTTAATCTCTCTTTTAGTTAGAGTCCAATTCGAAGGATATACGCATTCAATTGGCTAGGCCTACACATACCACTCCTTGATGTCTATGAGTTCTCGTTTTTTATTTGTTTTACTTCCGTTCGCGCCATTTTTAAGTGCACCGTTAAACGGCTGCCCCGAACCAGTTGCTCCGAGCAAAGCAGCATTCGGATCCTGACAAAAAGTTTTTGTCTCGTCAACCTTGTAACTGGTTTCCGGTCGATTTTTAAACTTCAGTATTATCAGGATGATGAGTACTATCGCGATTAGGGCACCCGCTATAATGCCAATTATCAGGGCAACGTTCTCAGCAGTTTCCGATGTTATCCTCTTGTTTTTGTTATTGTTCTTAGGCGGGGTTGGCATCGGTGGATAAATCGGCGGCGGAGGTGGCGGGGGTGGGTCCGTCATCTCCGTTGTACTTGTTTGCGTTGTCACTGTTGTCGATCGGGGCGTCACAATACTGCTACTGCATATTCAAACAAACGAACGAAAAATCATATGAGAAGACGTGTAATATAAGAACAACTAGAATGCAGAAACAAGTCTGTTTACTATGTTTTGGTACATATATTTTTGTTGTTGTTTCAGTACAATGATGGGTATGGGAAAGATTGTAGTTGAAAATGGAATTGTGTTAGAAACTCTTAGTAGGTCTATGTAATATTTGTGACTTCCGGATTTTTGTAAAGGTTGTTCTCAGGTAGCTCAGATGGGAATAGTAGTCTCCCGAATATCTTTGAAAATCTTTATGATATCTTTCGTGAAATATTCCAATTTACAACTATATTTAATTAGATCGACCGAAGGTACACTCTTTTCTTGGCGTATCTAAAAATGTCAATTACAATAATAACGTCCATGTATCTCCAACAATTTATATTTTTTATTGAAAATGATCGAGAGGGTTGTTTCCCTTTTTTCTGACTATATTTGAAGCTTACCTGCTATGACTAGTTTCCGTGTCGATGGTAGAACCATTGTATTGTCCGGAAACAGTGACGAATTCCCGTGTCGAGGTCGATGGTGACAAAGATGAGGAGGAGGATATCGTCGAACTGTGTTGAGTGCTGCTGTGACTCGTGGAATATTCCCGCAGGGTCGTGTACGTTACTGGGCTGCTCGTGTCTGCTGTCACGGCGGGAAAAGAGATAGAAAAAGGGGGGGTGGAGGTAGTTAAAAAGAGGCTTAGTAAGCTTTTTTCCTGTTTTTCTTTTTTTTTTTTATCTACTCTTCCGTGTGATGTTTGCTCGCAAGCTGATCACTCATCGATTACTCACAATAATTCTTTTTGACATAGAGAAATCGAGTGCGTGAATTCGCGTATATTTGTATAAGAGAATGTGTATGCATGCAGAAGTGTGTAGGGAGGGGTGTCTCTTTAGAAGCCAAAGAGGAAGCCCGAGGATATCACGCTACGATGTAGACATGACAGACTGAAAGAAGTAGTCTTCGGTGTCTCTCTTATCGAAGGGGTTGCTCGACTATGCTTGGCGACGGTCAACCAAGCTTGTGGCGACCGGATTGGCGGAGCTTTCACCGCATACGGCTTAGGGATATGCAAGCTCAAAGAGAAAGAGAGAAAGAAAGAACGAGCGTCACCAAGGTACAAGTATTTCCATATCCTAATAGTATTTTTTATTTCGAAAGCTGTGATTGACCGTTTACATATCTTACCCTTTAGCCTTCATTATTGCAATATTTAATAGAAACTTCGATATATTTTTATATAACGGCAAGAATTCTGAGAAATACGAGTCATTTTAATATACATTTTTCAATGTTTGTAAAATAACTTTGTTTTTACGTTTGAATGATAACATGTAAAATTCGTAGTGAACATACGTTGTATGAAAAATTAACTCGTATTAAGCATAAAATTATATATGGATGACTCAAAGAATGAATGTGATAATGTAATTTGAAGCTGATGTTAAATAGGTCGTGCAATGTGTGTGTGTGTGTGTGTGTGTGTGTGTATGTGCATAGAAAAAAATATTTAAGTAAATTAAATATGTGTATTTATTGCTGATATTGTGTTCTATAAAATAATTGATTTAAAATAAATACAGAAAATAAAATAAACTTAAAAGAAAAATCAAACTTTGTTTTAGGGATTTGGAAATACTCTACTCGCGAATAAAACGAATGCGTAGTCGGAAAGTAAATGAGTAGGTTGTAGGATCGATAAGCATTGGCGTAGGTGTTGCAATAGAGGAAAAATTTGTGTAAATCTCTTTGGAAACGAACCGGTTGTAGAAGTGACGACTATTTCCTCGGTTGTTCCAGGTTCTCCTGAACCTTCTTCACAATCCTCTTCTTCGTCATCGCACGAGGGTCGCTCTTGAATATTATCTTTGGTATGTTTTGGTCTCAAAGTTGTTGGTAATCTCGTCGGTGCCACGTAGACCGGTGTTATCAAATCGTCTGCAAAACATTTTTTAAAATAATAATTAAAATTCTAAATATAAACTTTTTTTATTACATTATTGGCTAACATTTTGGAATTATTATGTACATTCAGAGAAACAGGATATTAATGTAGGTTTATCTGTCAACTAAACTTATGATTGGTATGTTTTACATTTTTTATACTTATTTTTTTGGAAATCGGCAAGTGTAAATGAAGAAGGTAAATAAATGATTAAATAGGGATTGTTTGTTTGTACATGAAAATGACACGCATTCGTGGTTTCCTAAACAATTCCGTTTCGGACACGAATGCAAGCTTGATATGACACGAAAATTAACTATGAACGCGTGATGACAATATCATACGTAATATCTCTCTCTCTCTCTCTCTCTCTCTCTCTCTCTCTCTCTCTCTCTCTCCCTGATGTTGACATTTAAACGTGCGATACTGCTAATGAGAAACGTTCTCCTGTCTCTATATCGTTGACGACAATGCCAGTGACGTGTTTGTATAGAACATATACTTGTTTCTCCAAATTTTACGTGTAATTAAGTATCTGTGTATCTAGGATTGTTAAATGTGTACATACATGGGTGTATGCAAATATCGTAGACATGCTTGTAACGTTTCAATCAAATTTTTATAAATTCGATTAAAAAAAGATGCGATTTATTAAATTTATTAAAATGTGTATCAATAATATAAATAATATTTTTATTTATCTTGATACGATGAGAAGATATGCGTGAATTTTTATATGAAAATGTTTAATTATCGACTAATTGTCCATATTAGTATTATTTTATATTATGTGGATTTAATAAACATTAATTAAATAGAATAAGTTTATGACATTAAGGTGAATAATTTTGTATAAAATATTTCTGTTTATTGTGTAATTTTTATTGGTTTATGCGCGTGAAAAATTGATATAACTTTTTCTACATTTCGTTGAATAAAGTGAAAAATTGCAATGAAAAAGTAGGACAATGTAAAATGTCATCATGTGATCTTTAATGTTAGGCTCATTCTTAGTTTGGAACTTTGCCCATTCAAGACATGATCGAAAATGGATGTTGGTATCGACCCATACTCTGTTGGACTAATTATGGACTGGTGCCAAGAAATTCAGAAATAAGTTAGAATTATTGGTAAAAAATATGAAAATATGTTAAAGGAATATTTTCTCATTGTTTTTTGTGATTTGTTATGGAAGCGTTTTTCGATGACAATATTATTAAAAATATTTTGAAAAGATATATAAATTTTTCTTTATCATTATTTATACAGCCAGTAAAAAATTTGATTAAAGCGAACATATTAAATTATAATTTTTGTTGATATTCTTGGTTTGAGAGAAAACACTTTTAGTTGAATAACGTGCAGATGTTTTTAACATTTATAAAGAATTTTCTAATATGCAAATAAATGAAGAAAGAGGCAGAGAAAATTCTATATGCGTCAGGCAAATGACAATAAAAAATTATTATTGCGTCGGGTATTAAATTTGGTAAACTTTATTTAAAATATTTTAAATAATTTTTAAAAATTATCTAACAAGAATAAGGTTTAACGTACAGATTATGACAATATACATTTTTTGTATCTTCTATATATCTAAAAAAATAAAATAAAATAATAATATTAAATAAGATAAAGCATTGATTGTGATAAGTGATACTTCGTAGCATTTTTATAAATGTAACAATTGACGCAAAATTATTGAAATATTTCGGATTTATTTTTGCATGTTCATATGCATAAATTATAATTAAAAAAAAATCAGGTAAGAGCCGCCGAAGGCGACAGTGCCTTACCATTATATGTGTTTATTCCATCCTTGTCTAGGGGAGTGCTAAACGGCTCTCCTTTCATACTACACGATATATTAACTCGGCCACAGGTTTATATACTAACCGACTGATGCACAAGTACTTGCGAGAAAGCAGTTACTGATTAATCCTTAAAAACATGCATAAATATCTACCAATATCTCAAAAATATCAAACGATTTATCGAAATGAATGTCATGCTGCTAAATCGACTTAATGCATCATTTTTTAACAATGTCTTGATTCCCATAAACAATAAAAAACTTAAATTTAAACGTTGAACGAAATTAAGGAATGCCATCTGGCGTTGGAAGAGCAAACTAGTCTATAGTATATCGACCCCGAACGAGATAGAATAGAAGAGACGAAGGAAATTACTTACACCCACGAGGAAATGTTTACTTACACTTACCGGAACCAGGCTCGTAAATGGGCGTACATTCTTCGTCTTCGTCGTCACCGGCACATCCACTTCCGGCACCGGAGAAGATTAGATCGTCCATCACGCCTGGGAAACCAGATGCTGGAGTCTACGATACAAACAATTTGTTCAACTATATTACTTGGATTGAGGATACACATTGTCGAAAATTTCTTTATTAGCATTAAATTTTTGTTTCACTTAACGCATATATAAGGTGTACCAAAAATTACGTTGCATGGCCTGATACATAATTAGCAAACTGCAATTATGGTGAATAAAACTTTATTAACCTCTACCACTTACATGACGTTTCAGATCATAAGCGTATTAGGCAAATATCTTCACATTGGATCTCCAAATTCATCCCCTGTTTATATAACATCATTTCTGATACAACTTGTGTATATAAAGATTTTAGAATGTTTATTGTAGGATGTCTTACTTTTAGTTAAGTAAATTTAGCTTGTTTAATAATTTCAAGTTAATTTTTACAGTAGTTCACAATTTAGGATAAAGTAAATAGAATATTTGAGTAATTAAAGAAACATTGTAGTTGTTAATTTACCTGCTGCATTCTTTGCAAAGGTGCAGCTCGATCCAGGAGACTTCCAGCTGGTAAAAGTTGAACGTCACTTCTGATAGTAATTCGACTGTCCTTGGCAGCAGCCAGTTCTAAGATTCGTGCACTATTGACCACAAGGCCCGCGATAACTCCCAGAAATGGTCTCTCGATCTTTCCCTTGCTTCGATTCCATTTGCCACCGACTTGTATGGTCGATTGACTGTTAAATACCGAGTGCTGATAGCCTGTAAATGATAAAAGAAGCTTAAATTAGTTATGATGACATTTTTATCGACGACTCCTATAAAATTTAACGAGAAGGAAAGGAAAATTCCATAAATTTAACGAGTAGTTCGCTTTGGTACTCTACAAATTATTCGTTTGACCGTTGATTAGGCGAGCATGAAGAGCTGGATGTTAAGCGAGTCTCTTTATTGACCAATCTACTTGGCCCTTGTCCTCACACGAGCATACGATAGTGATAGGTTAAGTATTTGCTTCTCTTCCTTCGTCCTGTACTTGGAATGCTCAGGGAACCCTTGGCCCTTTGTAGGTCTAAATTTGGTTGGTTTTCTGAACAGGCGGGTATGAAGGGTAAGGAATTACTTAGGGTTGCCTTCTTCTCTCTCTCTCTCTTTCTTCATTCGACCCTTTGTACTCGTGTAACAGGATGCAAATATTTACTTGCATTACTTCCTTCGTTATTCCTGATCTCAATATTTTTACAAATGATTTATAATTTCAAATAACCTGTCGTATCAAATGATTAAAATGAAGAAATGTGAACAGGAAAGTGTCAAGTGTGTACTCTGTACTACTGAACACTTATATTATATCAAACTTTTAAAACTTTGCACAAGAGATGAAGGATTACAAAAGACTCGTTTAGATCGTTCGATCAGGATCTATATGTACAGGGAGATCTCTCGATCGAGAAAGATCGATAATGAGGCTATTTTTCGATTAGGCGACTAGGAGCGAGTTGGCTGTCGTTCTGGGTTCGAAGAAGAAACGTACACAAATTCATACATACATCTATGTATACTAAGCGGATAAAAGAAAGACAGACAGACAGGTTCATTTGGTCAACAGGCCAACGATTGCATGCCATGGGCGAGTTAAATGCCACGGGGTAATAGGAAAGCAACAAATCGATGTGGTATTTTTGGGGAATGGGATTAAGACGACGAAAGATGAGGAAAGGAATTCTAAAGTAAACTGAAGAAGATGAAGAGGAAGAAGAAGAAGAAAAGAGAAATAAATAAAAGACAAGCATATATGCGCTTAAGTATACTTTACTGAGGTCTGTTTACGAACCGTTTGGAATTATCGAAAGGATAATAATTTTTGGCGAAGCGAGAAAAAATGGGACCGGCTGACAAACCTACCAGGCTTGTAGGAGAAAATAGAAGGCTAGCGTGCCATGGTAGCGTTTTAGGCTACACTCGGTGTACGTTGGCCTTCGATTCAATTCCGAACCAATCGGATTCATTTTCATGTTCGAAAGGCGTGGTAGGATGCTCACGCTTCGTTCCATTCTCCGAAACTTTCTCTTATTTGTTTTTTACTTCGCTTCTATTCGTTAGTCGGAGATTTTGTTTCGATTTATATATGTATTAGACATTTTTGTCAACACATAGCCAATCAAATGGGGATATCTATCCATTTTAAAGTAAGTCGCAGTATGGCCGACTGAGAAATCACATTTTTTCTTTAACAACATAAGTATATGCGTGTACAAAAGATTATTTTATTGTTAATCTTAAAATAAATGAAAATTATATAGATAACTGAAAGATGTTTTTCATGAAGATAGATAGAGAGGATTCTAAAGTAATTATTAAACAGTATGATCTTTTTTGAATGGTAGAAAATAGGATAAAATATATCTACTATTTTTAATTACGTAAAATGGTTCATAACAATAATAAAAATGATAGTTGACGAATATTTGTAAATAATTTATATCTGATATCAACCATCTAAGCATATATAATCTAAACAAAATTATTTCTCTCCGTTCTATTTCATTATCCGTAAAAAAGTTTGAATTTAATTAGCGTAAATATGGCGGAGGAGAAATCGGATGGCCAAAGATGGAAGATTCAGCTGTCTGACTCTTATAAATATATCAACTTACTAAAATTCTTGACTTAGCACTTGTCGACCAGGCATAGTCGATTTATCAGTAGAGTATAAAAATACAGCTGGTAGATCGTGTCTCTTTTCTGGAGTATTCGACATGCACACGCGCGCACACACACAACACTTATACACAGATGCATACAACACGCTCATACATATACGTTCGATCTTCGGATGCTTGAAATCTCCCTACTAACCAACTAACACTTTTACGTATACTACTACTTGCTGTTCATCCGCTACGACAAATAAATGGTACGTGTGCACACGTGCCAAACCATAAAAGCCTATTGGAAAACTAATATTGGGCACGTACACTAAACAAAACCCTTACCTTCTATCGAAAAATTGAGATAAGGATGTCATTGACGGCACATTCCAATCCGAAGAAGTCCAATAAACTGTATCACTTTACTAGGAGAGCAGAAGAGCGAGACACGATACCTGGCTAGCCTACGAGAATTTCGGTTGGTAGTAAACCTACCTATTGCGCATACTTTTGCGTGTTATTTGTATGTGTGTATTATTTGTGAGTTACACCAACTTGAGAATTCCGTCGCGTTTGGTTCTTCAGCGAGCATTTAATTTGTTTTCTTATATTTTTGTATGTGAATAGTATTAATATTTATAATAATATTATTAATATTATAATTTGATAAATAATACTATTATTATTAATATTGTTTAGGTGGAAATGTTTGAATAAAAATGGAATATTTTAAAAATATTTTTTCTATATTTATATATATTTTGTTTGTACGAAAAATATTTGTATTCATATCAGACATTCTACTTTATTCTAATCAACAGTCTCGGATAATATGAAATAAATAAAAGTGGAGACTACTCGATATTCTTGAAATCGATGTTTTTAGAAAAGTCAGAGATGTAGGGCGAGAAATTAGAATGCAGTGAAGCGAATTGAATGTTTCGGTGCAATTAGCTCTTGCACGACATAATCTAAATTAATAAGTAAACTGACAGGAAAGTATGGAACACGGGGAGGTGGTGAACACCCGAAAGTAGGTTAAGGCGCGCTACGTTCGGTTGCTTAGACAAGTTGCGTATTCGGTTAAAAGGGATCAGGAGAGGAGGAGATGACTGAGAACGAAGACGTCTAATCCAGAGATTTCAATGCAAATTTAATTTATTGGTGTAGGATTGCCACGTCAATTAATCTAACAAAATGGTCATTTAGAAAAGGTCGGTATAAAAATAGAAAAGATATAATAGATCGATTAAAAAATATATGTAAATCTAATTTAATGGAAATCATCGCGTGAGTGCATTTTTATAAAATACTAATTACAAAATTTTAGAATAAATAAAAAAATGGTACAATGATTTAAAGTTACTTTTAGGAATTGTTCCAGTTCGTAAGGCTTGGACGGTGGGAACTAAAGACAGTTGCGTATTTCACTCGCGTTCTTGTTGTTCACTGGGTATGGGAAACATCGATGATTCCCAGAGAATGCCAGTTCTTCTTTCAAAACTAAAACGGTTTACAAAGAGGGATGGACGGTTTGCCGGTTGATGAATTCGTTACATTAATGTTCGGTGTCGTTCATCTCTTTTGTCAAATGATTGTTTATAATTTAGAAAATGTTCAATAAGTTACTCGATAGCATAAATGTAAATATTTCCAGATATTTGTAAGCTACATTCATTGTTTTAGCATATATTTTTGTATAAATAATTTCAATGCTTATAATATATGAACACGAAAAGTAAAGATGAAGATTTCGAATAAATTTGATGAAATGACAATTTTTGAATGATTTCGATACTGTGCATCTATTATACTATTATATAGGTTCTATAATCACATGAAAGAATCTTTAGAAGAACCTTTACGAAAGATTGAAAGGACGGCTCGTAGAAATGTTCTCACGCTATAAAAAAAAAGGAAAGAAAAAAGAAGATAGAAAAAAAAAACAGTGTGAGCGGTATCTTGAAAGGAGGACCATAAAATCGACGTTGGGTCTTAGGTTATTTTAAGTTAATGATTTTTCTGTTTTTATTTTTTTAAATATCTTTTTTCTATCTTATTGTAAAGACACGAAAAGGAGGTAAAAATTTCGAGTGGAATGCTCCCTCTTATCTTTTCTTTCCCCTGGCATCATCAAATCTAGACTCCTCCTCCTTCTCCTCCTAGCGAATGGAAGCAGTAAGAGATTTTGGTGATTTTAAGGTTTTAATAATAAAAGAACTCTCTAAGAGTGTGAGAACCAATCGTGAGAAAAAGCTGAACGAAGGACTGAAAAGGCTGTTACAAGCAACAGGCTTGTATCCAGTACACGTTAGTAAAACAATTAAGATACTTATGTATAGTCTAATCTACATTTGTATGCCCTTTGAAACGAACCAGAAATTATTTTTATTTTGTTACAAACTTTTATTTAAATGATTGTACAATTTTTTTATAAGTTTTTACGTACAATAATAAAAAGATTGATTTTTATATCGTATATCAATAATCTTGAATAAATATATTAATATAAAAAATGAAATAAAAGTCATATATAAATTATTTCGACGTGCATAAATGTTTTTTGGGCAAGTCGAGTGTATTAGATATGCATTAGATGAGTTTCTTGGATCTCGATTATAAATTAGATGTGAGTAGGCACAATGATTCGTTGATTCATGCTCGTATTAAAAATAGAAATATATTCATAGGATCGAGAGAAGCGTAGAGGAAAAGCACGTAAGGGGTAGATATCGATGGAATGCAACTACCAGCATTCATGGCCTGGTCTCCTGGTCGATCTGGGAATCTGTTTCCCCTGAAGTCGTTAAGATTCTCACGATCAAAGAAAGCGAAAAAGAGAAATAAGAAGAGACTGACAGAGAGACAGAGAGAGTCAAAGAGAAAGAGAAAGAGAGAGAGAGAGAGAGAGAGAGAGAGAGAGAAAGTGAGAGACAAAAAGAATGTTTCACACGGGAATGCTTGGGAACGTGTTCGCATCCTGTAGGAAAGTGTCCATATGTATGTGTGGAATATACAGTGAAACATGAAAATAATATCGTTTACTTCTTGAAACTGGACAAGGTTTTTTTCAAGTGAACGTGTGAACCAAACTGGTACAAGATTTGTCTC